GGGCCTCACCCTGACCTCCTGAGTCTGAATCTCTGGAGCAGAACCTGAGCAAGTCCATGTGAAGAAGCTTGGCAGTGACTTTTTCACACCCCAAAGGCTGAGCATCATTGGCCTAGCCATTGTTCACCATAAGTGCTACAATAAATACCATTCAAAGACTTTTCCCATGCCAGAGGAGCTAGAGGCTACTTCTAGAGGTTAACAACTCCATTTCTTTTTCCAGGAAAAGAGTCATAACAGACTATCTATCTTATTTATCTCCAAAGAATTTCACATTTCAGAAGTAACATACTCCTTAAATAAACACATGAGCTTCCAAAGGAGATAGGCACTCAGGGCGCTGACAGAGAACTATCCCCAGCAGTTGGAGCTGACCCCTCAGAGCACCAGCGTGGGCAGATCTCAGACGCCCCTGGGTGGGGAGAACCCTTTCGCTGGCTCACATTTTCACGAAACCCATGCATAACCACTCTGTTTCTTCACTATTTCTCATCCTCCAGCCTTGATGACAAAGATACATGAGGCTATCTCCCAGGTAATAGTTTCAAAAGATAGCAGATATTGAGAATCTGTTATTTTTGTGTGTAGCCCAGATAGATCATACGTATAAACATGTGTGCATATTTTCTATGCGAGCAACTGTGGCTGTGCAGAGCTGGAAGGCTGGTGAGGGGGAAGTGGGAAAATCTCAACAGAGAGCCCAGTGGTCCTTTTGGGAACTAAAGGACCAGGACTTCTTTGTCATCTTAGGGTCAAAGTTACAGGCACCTTTCAGGTAAGCCTGGAGAGGCCCTGCCCAGAGCCCAGTGACAGGACAGGGAATGGAGCCCCTGGAATAACATCCCCATGCAGCTCAAATGGGGGGCCAAGTGCAGCACCCGCAGTGATGCATCCTGGCCCAACCCCCAGAGCTTTGTGGGAGCTCCCTTGGATGAGCTTCCCTTGAGGTTGAAGAACTCAACAATTGGTCAGAGATCTGCCCTTGTTTTGTGGTCAGGCCAACCACATTACTTCAGAGAGTGGCTTCTGAGGTCTCCAGCTCGCTGAGCAGCAGCCCCATCAGAGGCAGTGAGATCCAGTGGAAGTGTCACTGTGCTCCAGCTCCCAGTGGGCAGTGTCCTGGCTCCAGGAATGGGGCAAGGCGGGGCAGGACTAAGTCTCTGACTTCTTGGGCACATCAAGGGAGAGAAACTGAAAAGCTGGGCTTCTCGCCATTTGACTATACTGGGCTTGCAGAAGAGGCTTTACTTAAACCCCAGATTCATACATAGTTCTTTCAGTGCTCACACCAACCTCATGAAATATATGCTGCCTTTACCAGCATTGTGCTGGTCAGACAACTGTGGTCCAGAGAGGCCAAGTAGCTTGTCCTAGACCACACGGCAGGTCATCCACAGCCTGCCACTCAAAGCTGCACTCTTCCACTGCCCCTCCTACAACCACTAACATGGGCCCTGCACCTGGGAACTCAGGAGGAACCAAAACTTAAAAGCTTTGGACCTGACTGTTTAAATAGATGAACTCTTTGCCCTGGGTGGAAGAGATCAACAAACATCCAGAGAAACAACACAAGTCGGCAGGGAAGCACAAGCTGACACCACTGACGGTGGCCCTCAACGTTTGCAGATCCTGGATCCTTGCTCCCACGACCTGCAAAACAGCACCTGAGTTGTGCATTAGTCAACCTTTGATACTAACACTCCCATAGATGTGTCGTCAGGAAAAGATGCACTCACTAACATCACAGGGAGGATGAATTTGTATACTGGATTATTGACCACAGATCAAAACCTGGAGCTGGTGGGGAAGGAGAACAGTTGCTTAATGTGATGAAGCAAATGTCAAAACCTAATGAGTCCATGCTGAGGCAAGCTGCCCAAGGTGACCAGGCAACCAGTGGGCAGCAGGGGTCTGAGAGGGAATGCCACAAGATTTGATCTTGTCTGTTCTGGAAGTCAGATGACCACACCATGGGTCACCATGACTTGACTTGGCCCTGGACCACTGTCAGAGCATTTCAGTAAGTGAAACAACTAGTCATTTCTGTCAGACAATCAGCAGGACTCTTCTATTTTTCCCATGCTGAACTGATGGCTATTTGACTAGGCCAATCTCGGGAACTGATTATTCTGGAGTCCTGTGGATAGGGCTTTATAGTCTGTCAGCATCTGTTAACTGAGCACCGACTGAGTGCAAGCTCTCTATCAAAAAACGGTCCAGATCATGTTGCTCCAAAGCAGTCAGAAGCTCTGGACATTAATCCACCGTGGCCAGGCCACCTATTTCGGCTGTGGCAGAAGCTGCCTGCTAACAGACCCGCCTCTGATTAGACTCAGTGGCTCTCCACTAGAGCCACACGCTGGAGTCACCTGGAGTGGGGATAAAAATATTGTGTCTGGGTCCCACCCACAGAAGCTTCGATGTAATTGGCCTGGGGAACAGCCTGGCATTGGGAGTTTTAAAATCTCTCCAAATTATTTGACTATGTAGCCAAGGTTGAGAACCACTGGTTTCTGTTGAAGCCCACGCCTGTGGCCCAAGAGACATTTGTAGCAAATGGGTCCACCATCATCACTTCATTTCGGTGGCTTTCTACATCTGGGGTCTGGGGGAAGGCCGGGAGGGGTACTGGGGGTGGAGGAGTCAATACAGATGGGAGGGATGTCTTGATCTAACTATTCAGCACATCCTGTGTTTGTCTTTCCAAATCACTTTCTGTTTTGTTTTCACTTCCTTGCTCTTTTTTCTTTCAACAAACCGCACTTGCTGCCAACTGTCAATTCTCTAACCTGTCGTCCTCTCTTTATGATCAAAGTGTAAGCTGCATATGATCTCATTTATTCTCAAAATAGCCCTGGGAATGAGGAAAGGGCCAACCTTTTTTTCCCCGAGGCAAATCAGAGAGACATGTAGATCAAGAAAGATTCTATCTGCCATGAAATTCATATCATTATTTTGCTTCAATGCGTTTATAGCAATTTTCCAAAGCACTTTCAAAGCACTTTCACCCCTTTGCTCCCATGGAACTCTCACAGCAAGTCTGTGGTGACAGTATTTTCATAATCACAGTGGCCATCCATCCTGATTGGCCCTGAACAATTCCAGGGTATACCTGTTGCCCCAGCCTAATTATTGGTAACACCCCCTTCAGTCTCAGAAATGTCTTGGTTTGGACAACAAATCATATGGTCAACTTATTTTATAACCACCCTCTTGTTTCAGGGGAGCTATTGAGACTCAGAAATTAAGTAATTTGCTCAGAGTCACTCAGCTAACTAGAGGCAGAGACAACACTTGAACCCAGATCCTGTGTCTCCAAACCTCTACCCATCCACGGATACTATGAAACATGGTCATCAGAAATGATTTACTCAAACCTTTCTTCCTATAGATGAAGAAGCTAAAAATGTTGGGGACATAATCTCTTAAAAGTCACCATTAGAATGTTCCCTGGGAGGGAAAGACATGGAGCGCAGAGCAAGGCTGACTGGGCTCCTTGATGGAATTCGATGACCACATTAGAATGGATTAGTAAGTTACCAATAATTGTCATCTTGAATGGCACTTGAGAGCCCAACTTGGCAAAAGAAGTTACAGGGCCTGACATACGGGTCTTTGGAGAAGAGTAAGAAATTTAGAGTCTAAACTGCTAGATTTGAGGACTGGGCTTGAACGTTATTTAGCACTTACTTCTGGGCATTTCTGGTACCTTCTCTGAGCACCTGTGTTGTTCAACCATAAAACGGGGCTAATCATCATTCTTATTTCCCTGAGTTGTCACAAAGAGAGCAAATTGCAGCTCCCTGAGTGTTCTGACAGCAGCGAGTCTCATGAGGTCCCTGTGAGTCACATTTATTTTTCTTCACTTTTCACATGCATGAATGAAGGCTCACGAACAAGGATGCTGGAGATCTGAGATAAAATATTTGAATGTGCTCCATAAGTCTTAAAATGCTGCTTATTATTATTATTATTACTAGTATTATTACTATTTATTATTATTATTATTATTATTATTATTAGCAGCAGCAACAACAAATGATTATCAATTGATATGGGACAGAATCATATGTCCTTGAAACTCCCTGGGTGACAGAGGTTTTGTATGACACCCAGTGGGCAGGACAGGTTCAAGGGTCACTTCATGGGCATGTTGAAGATGACCAACATTATAACTCTTACTGAGTGGGGCCAGCCTGCCTGGAAGCAACCTAGAAAGTAGGTTGGTGGGTGCCCTGCCCTGCAGAAAGCATCCAGGTACCTGACACCTTCAATAAGAAGGCTCTCCTTCCTGTGAGAATCAGTCACCTAAGAGAACTGTCAATTTTGGAAATGCCTGATTCTACAAATCAGGACATTGCTTCACTAAGATGCAACCATTCAAAGCTGGGTCAGTGTCATTTTCAACCTTTACTTGTCCCTGTAAATGATAACTACTAACCAGAAGCTGGAAAAGGGTGGGGAAAAAAAAATCACAAGGGCTTCCCTATCTGATTTTTTGTTCCCTGCATGGATCTGGTTTTTGAGCTAACCACGAAGGCTTACCTGGCTCTCACGGATTGCTTTTCTTTAGGGGAAAAAAAAAACAAATGACAACACAAGCATTTTAGAATTCTTTGGGGGCACTGGGAGCTGGGCAGTGAGCTTTTTATATAAATGGAGAAAACCTCTAAAGCTGCCAACATGAAATTCCAATGGTACAGGTAGAATTGGTCTCCACTGCCTAGTAGTGGGGCAAAGGGCTCCTTTTGCTCCAAAGAGTCAATTTGTGTTTCAAATATCTTTCAGGAACTTGACACTGTGAAACTACCTGCTCTCAGGGAATCTGAGAAAGTCCTAGAATAGCTTTCTTCCAGGAGAGCAGCAAGACTCGGGGCTTTGTTAAAACCCTCCCTATTCACACCCTGGACCGCAGGCCTGGATGCTGAGGCCAGGGCACAGCTGCCCGCTGTCCGGCCCACATTGCCCAGCCTCCAAGGGGACACGACCCTTTCCATTACCTGGGTCTCCAGAGGACCTGGAAATCCTGCCCAGAGGGGTCCCAGAAAGCAAATGAGGGCGTCAGAAGCCACATTGGAGGGAAGAGAAACAGGCTGAGGAAAGCAAGTGTCGCTAAATGACAGGTGTCATTTCTACAGATAATTCTGTAAAATAAACAGAAAGAATGTAAAACCCAGTGGAAGAAAGTTAACAAACCTTGGTGGTAGGCTGGGTCAACTGGGACAGAGCACTTCCCCTGTTCCAGGGAATATAGGTGCCTTTTAAATTCCATCAGGGGGCCCCTGGACAGGCACCAAGGTCTTCCCTTTACAGTGATCTGCATATTTCTGGGGAAATTTTGCATTCTAAGCCTTTTTTCCCCTTTGTGAAAGGTCCTGGCACTCAGGCAGCCTGCCGGCTCCCCCTCCCCCAAGTCCTGGCGTTTCTTTCTGCACCGCCCTGGAGGCAACCCTCCTGCCGCCTCAGGTTTCCCGGCTTCTGCGGTGTCGGCACCGAGGACCGATCAAATGTTTCTTTCTTATTACACTAGCGGACCGAGAAACGCTGCCTCGGCCTCCATCCTTCCTTCTACAGGTTGCAAATGAAACGAGCGGCTTTGACGTTAGATGGTTTCTGCCCAGGCAGCAAGGCGACTTAATTTAATATTTGCACTGTACCCCTTCATCCCGGTCTGCCCAGGTTGACCGGGACATTTTCCGAATTGCCACACCCTCAGCATGTCATGATAGTACCCTGGAAATCATGATTACGACAATAATAACAGTGTTGGCGAATGGAGTGTTTGTTTTCTGCTTTTGCAAGTCACAAAACAAGAAAACATCTTTGTTTCCTTCAGCTGTTATTTCAGTAGCTCTGAGTACAAGGAAGCCAGGGGGTTTTAAGAAATGTTATTTCTGCTTTGCCCAAGATCATTTGCAATAAAAGCCATGCTTCCTTTTAGTCACCACCCCCCTCAATTTTAGAAGAAAGGTTCGCGGGTCGAGCCAGGTTCTTGCCATCTCCCTACACTTGGAGGTGCCCTTTAGAAACAGCGCGGGGCAGAGCTCTGGGACCCGCAGCGGGGACCGCCTGCCCTGTGGCCGCTTTGACGAACTGCCGGCCAACTCTCCAAGAAGACAGCCACCTGCCAGATTGCACCTGACTCCATTCTGCCCGGGAGCCCCGAGGCCAGGCTCTGGCTTGCAGAAAGGCCACCACAGGGACCGCGAGGGCTGGGCTGCCTGCCCTCCCTGCGGAAGGTCCACAGCCCCAGCGGTCCGCTCCGGGGCACGCGAGCCGGCGCCGCCGGGAGCCCCGCTGGAGGCGCAGCAGGTGCGGCGGGAGCCGAGACGCCGACCTACCTTCACGAAGAGTTCGATCTCAGGGTCTCTGTCGTCCCCATTAGCGGTCGCCGCGTCCGTCATGCCGTCGGTGCCCGGGACCACCGTCCCGGGCTGGGGAGGCGCCACCTCTGCGGCGCCCGGGCCAGCGCTCTGCGTTCCTGCTCCTGCCCAAAGGGGCCTCTCGTTAAAGCGGCGGGTTTTTCTTTTTCTTTCTTTCTTTCTTTTTTTTTTTTCTTCTAATCTATGTCTCAAGCCGGGGACAGCGTGGTCTGAGAGATCAGTGCCCCGGGCGATCACATGAAAAGGAGAGAAGCCAGGAGGGGACAGGGAGCAAGCGGGAAAGGTGGATTCAGGGATGGCAGCAGGTTCTGGGAGCAACAAGTGCCGGGCTGCGGGGAGGTGTCACAGGATCCGCGCCTGTCAGCGATCCCGCTGTCGCCGCCAACGCGCCCAAAATAGCCGGCGGCCGCGGGGCGGGGTCAGCCCGGGCGGGGCAGGAGGGGCACACCTCAAGTCCGCCGGCCTCGGCCCTGGCCTGGCGCCAGTCACCCCGCAGGGCGCGGGGCGCGGACCTACTGGGTCCCGCGCTGCCACCAAGGCCTCGAGTATCTGGGGAAAGGAAAGAGGAGAAGGAGAAGGAGTCAGAGAGAAGAGGAGAAGGGAGAAGAAAAGGAAGGGAGAGGAAGAGGAAGAGGAAGAGGAAGAGGAAGAGGAAGAAGAGGCGATGCCTTTAAGTCTTAAGTTTCAATAAAGAGGCCTTACCTGTTCCAAGTTTACTCTACTACCAGCCTTACCCAATTGGAAAGCCCCTTCGTGCCTTAGCAATGTTCAGAGTGAAGAGTAGCTGTGGGCAGCAGGAGAGGGAAAGAAAATACCCCGAAAACGGCATTTGCCATCTTCGTGCTGGGCAAATAGAGTGCGGGGTGGGGGTGGGGGGGCTTGTAAGGTAGAACGGTGAGCCAACCCGGTCAGGTGCTGCCAGAGCCAAGGATCCGTGTCTTATAAGCTTCTGGGCTTGCTGTTTCTTTCTTTTCTTTTTCTTTTACTCTCTATTCTTTTCTTTTCTTTCTTTTCTACTCATTTCATTTCTGTTCTTGTTCGTTTGCTTTTTAGTGAACTATATAATATGATACACATAGGGAAAAAACGCACTGCACTGGTAAGGGTATGGTCCAATGAAGTTTAACAATCTGAACCTACCCATGAAAAACCAACACCAGATGAAAAAAAGTAAAGGTTAGCTATACCCCCAGAAGCTCATTCTGGTCTCTCCTTCCTGCTTGTCCTCTCCTCCCTCTTCTCTCCAACCAGGGTAACCATTAGTCTGGTTTGCAACAGCACAGGTTACTTTTGCCTGGAACCTTACATTACATTTGTGAGATTCATCCATCCTGCTGTGGGTAGTTGTAAATCATCCATTTTCTTTGCCACAATTTATTCTTGCCATTCTTCTGTTGATGGACATTTGCGTAGTTTCCAGTTAATGACTAACATGGATACTGCTGTCAACAACATTCTATCTATCAAACATCCTTTGGTGAATATGTGGACAATTTTCTGTTGGGTATATACTTAGGAGTGGAATTGCTACAGAGTATGAAAATGTTCTTCTTGAGTAAACGCTACTAGATGGATGGTTTTCCAAAGTGGTTGTACCAATTTACACTCCCACCCTTCATTTCTTTTGAAAATATAGGCACAAGGCTTTTGCATCTGGAATCTGGTCAAATTCTGTTTTCTTTGCCTTCTCTTTAGTTAATCCTGTTTGTGCTCTGTCTTGCTTTACTTAAAAATATACATTTATTTCACAGCCTTATAAAAAAATCACTTAATAATAAAATAAGTGATAGTACTTATTTATGTACCAGGCTAAAAAATGCTAAGTAGTCTACATGTCTTAACTTGTTTAATCTTTACAAATAGTGTTATTATCTCAATTTTACAAGTGGGGAAACTGAGGCTTAGAGTATTTAAGTAACTTGTCCCTAGTCATCCAGCTAAGAAACAGTAAAGTCGGGATTTGTACCCAGGAAGACTGAGCTTATGCTCTCAACTATGCTACTAACTGCCCACATCAAACTTAGCACCCACTGGGTAAGTCACTTTGGGGAAACAAAGACCCTTCCCTCATCTTAATGGAGATTAAAATCCATTTCAAGGTAATGTCTCATGAAAAGAAAACCAAGGCTACCACATAAATTAGGCAGATGGAAAAGCTACATAAATCAGCATGTAGAGAGATTATTCACCACAGTTGGAGTGGGCAAAGGGAAAGGCCTCATAAAGCAGAAGTCACTTCAGCCGAACCTTCCTGAATGATCAGGCATCTGGCAACCTGAGACAAGGGCTGGGTATGCTGGCTACTCTTTATGGCAGGCTGTTTGCCCATAAACTCCCAAGTGAAAATGTCTCCTTCTGACTGAAGAAACAGTCACCAAACCCAACCTGCAACTCTCACAGGACACTATAGCTTGATCAAGGTGAGGCTTAATTGCTCTTCTCCTTGGTTTGAGGCTTACATCACCAAAGCCTTACAGAAACAGTCACCTTCATGGCTGTACATTCTGAGCCAATGACTGCATACTCTGTGAAGGACAAGGTTACAGAGAGAGACTGGTAGCTTTACTGCATGCTGCACAGACTCATCACTTCCCTGCTATGGCATATAGACAATATTTTCAATAGCAATGGGGCAGAAGTAAATAAAATTATATGTATAAAATGCCTTTGAGGGTTTTTTTTTTTTAATGAAAGACGCTTTATACTTGTGATCACTTTCTTGGATACGATCTAAACAACATATGGTATGACCTCTACTTTCCTTAATCTCAAACCTAGGAGAATTTGCTTTTATTTCATCTTCTCCAAATAATCTACTGCTTGTCAGAAAACAGAACAGCTCCCTTTGAATTTCTAGGTAATACCTCTCATTTGGACAACCCTACAGGTAACTGATACTTCTAATATAAACCTTCATGTGGCAAAAAAAAAAAAAAAAGTCAGCTTTGGTCATAAAATATTTCTGTGCATATTTCTAGCTTTTAATTCCACATTCTGCTTTTGTTCAAGATAAAAAGATTTCATTTTTCACTCTTTAATGTCAGAGCTTAATAGGTTAGAATCAATTTTAAATTTTTTCAGAGAAAAACGTTTCCTCAATCCTAGACTATACTTCTTTTTTTTTTTTTTAATTTTTATTGGGGAATTGGGGGATGGGAACAGCACCGGGGAACTGGTGGAAGGGGGACAGACAACTTGCTGTCCTTTTGTTCTTCAATCTAATTGTGGAGGACATTGCTTCACTGGCCCAAGTTGGCACCTTCATTGCGCTCTTCCCAGGTGAGGCAGATTAGTCACCGGCTTCTGGACGGCCACTCACTGCGGCTGCTGGCCACTCACTCTGGCTGCTGGCTACACATGGTAGCCCATGGCAACCCACTGCCACAGGGGCTGCAGCCTACGCTGTCGCTGGCGACTCATGGCAGCCCAGCTCCAGGTTGAGCTGTTGTTCAGCATCTTAGCTGTAGAGGGCGGTGTCACTGGCCCTCATATGTGGGATCCGAACCGGGGCCCTCTGGCATCCCAAACCAGCTCTTAACCACCACGCCACTCGGCCAGCCCCTACACTATACGTCTAATAATCATAGTTTCACAAACTTGGTGCAAGTTTGGATAAATGTTTACAAGGAAAACACTTCAAAAATATATTCAGTGCTCATTTTGGCAGCACATGTACTAAAATTAGAACAATACAGAGAAGATTAGCATGGCCCCAGAGAAAGGAAGGCAGGAAAACCTATGTAACATCCATACTTTCGTATGATTGTTAAAAGCGAAAATTATAGCATGTCTTATGTATGGAGTTTCAATATATTCAGGTTCAATGATATGACATAAAGGGTGAAGATAAAAATATTTATATAGGTGTATGGTTTCTATACTTCACTTGAAGTGGTAAGCTATGAACTCTAAGGAGATTGATATAAGTTAGGTATGTATATTCTAACAACTCCTAGAGCAAGAACTATAAAAATTATACAAAGAGACAGAGTAAAAAGCTGATAGATAAATCAAGATGTAATGGCAAGAAACATTCAAATAATCTAAAAGACTTGGAAGGCAGGTAAAAGAGAGCAAACAAAAAGCTAATAATAAAATGGCACACCTCACCTCAACCATATCAGTACTTAATGCTAAATACACGTGGTCTAAACATCAATTAAAAGCTGGAGATTGTTGTACAGAATAAAGAAAAATAATAATTAAAAAAACAAGACCCAATTATATGCTATTACAATATTTCATTTCAAAAATAGTAATGTAGATAAGTTAAAAATAAAAAGATGGGAAAAGAAATACCATGCAGATACTAATCAAAGAAAATTAGTAGCTATATGAACATAAGACAAAATACACACCAAAACAAGAAAATTATCAGTGATAAAGAGGGATATTCCATAATGGTGAAAGGGTCAACACATCAAGAATATAATAACAACACTAAATGTGTATATACCTAATAACAGAACTTCAAAATACATGAAGCAAAAGCTGACAATGAAAAAAAAAAAGAGATGAATACACAATTACAGTTGGAGACAACAATGCATCTCTCTTAGTAGTTGATAGCAAAAACAGGCAAAAAAGAAAAAAAAAATCAGCAAGAATACAGAAGACCTAAACGACGCTATCAACCAATTCGACCTAATGAACATTTATAGAATATCCCACCCAAGTAGCAACAGAATGCACACTATTTTCAAGTATACATGGAACAGTCACCAAAATAGACCATATTCTGGGTCATAAAACAAGCATTATATTTAAAAGGATGAAATCATACAAAGTATGTTGTTCTCTGACCATAGTAGAATCAATTTGATCAACAAAAAAAAATCTGGAAAACTTCTAAATATTTGGGAATATATTTTAGGAAATTCACTTAAGTAATACACTTTAAGAAATTGATTGGCCAGCAAGAAAATCTTCAGAAAATATTTTTCAAACAATTAGAAAATTAGGAAACATTTTTAACTGAATGCAAATGAACATAAAACATATCAAAATTTGTGGGATGCAGCTAAAACAGTGTCTAGAAAGAAATTTACCCTTTAAATACTCTTTAGAAAAGAATAAAGTTCTTGCATTAATAATCTAAGCTTCCACGTTAAAAAAACTAGAAAAAGAAGAGTCAGCTAAACTCAAAGCAAGAAAAAAAGTAATAAATAAATAAATATAAGAAAAGAAATTAATAAAAATTTAAAAAGTGAGAAAGCAACAGAGAAAAATCAACGAAACCAGAAGCTGGTTCTAGTAAAAAAAAGAAAAAAAAATCAATAGGATTGGTAAACTTTTTGCTAGATTCATTTACCAAGAGAAAAAGAGAGAAGATACATATTACCAATATCAGGTATGAAAGATGGGCTATCACTACAAACTCTACAGACATAAAAAGAT